ATTAATAAAATCACTTTATCTCTTTGCATCTTAGTTTTGAAAGGCTGTTGCTGACCCACAAAAAGACGCCGGGATTCTTGGCCTCCAGAGGAGAAGAATTCAATCCGGGGCCAGAAGCGAGGCTTGACTGCTCAGAGGTTTTGTGTAATAAAGTTTTATTAAAGTATAAAGGAGATAGAGAAAGCTTCTGACATGGGCATCAAAAGGGGGCAGAAAGAGTATCCCCCTGCTAGTGTTAGCCATGGCGTGATATACTCTCTAAATAGTTATTACAGTGAATCAAAAGAATGTCTGGAGATTGTAAAGACCTCACTAGACCTACTCCAATAATTTACATTTTAAGATAATAGGATTAGCCAGAAGGTTTTTTTCCAGAGACTGTCCTCAAGCAGGACACATTATTGTTATATAACCCTAAGGAATGTAGAGGGAAGTTTGTCGTTTCTTCCCGCTTGAGAATTCCAGACCCCTCTTTCCTTGGGGACCACTGGAATTCTTATCAATCTGCCTAGGAATTGACACTCTCAGTTTCATGATTTGTAAATGAAGAGAGTACTTATTTCACGAGGTACTTAACAAGGATTAAATGAAATGTAATAAAATGCATATGCATTGTATTTCATAAATCAACCACTAGGTGGAAATGAAGGTTTATATTAATAATTCTAAAGGCGAAGTTCTAAAGCAATTCCCAGGCAGCAGCAGCATTTGGGAAGTTTCTGCACCCTCTGATTTCTCCTGTGGTATCCGAGAACTGCTTAATCCCATCTCTGAGAGTGGGGCTCAATTATCTGTCCTAAGGAGTTCTCCAAGTGAGTCTTACACACACTAAAGTTTGAGAATCACTGAATTAATACATGTCCACATTTTTCTCTGATTTGCTGCCTGGGCAGAGAAAAGCCAAGAGACAATTAACACACAATACCAACTAGAATTTACAGAAGGTTAGTGAGTACTATATAAATCTGTGCTTAATGATAAACATACACAATGGCATATATCCTTATTTTTATAAGATAGTTATTTTGTGAGATATTTTATGAGAGAACTATTTTTACTTCCATTTTTCAACCTGAAATTGAATAAACTTGACCGTTAGTGACTTATCATTATTCCCTAAGTACTCTAAGCATAGAGTACTCTAAGCTAGGCCATGGATTTACCCACCATACTACACTGCCACCCCCAAAGCCTGTCTTAGTATTCTTGCCCCACTCAATCATCAATGACTGGGAGCAGACCATGGAATCTCATACAAAGGCAAAGACAAAGCAGAGATTCCTTTCACAGCTGCTTCATCTGCACTAACTCCTTATGAATTCCTGCTAAATTTCTCACTTAAATGTATGAATGAAACTACTAGACAGCATATTTAAAAGCAGAGACATCACTCTGCCGACAAAAGTCCACATAGTAAAAGCTATGGTTTTTCCAGTAGTCACGTACAGATGTGAAAAGGTCAGTTTTCATTCCAATCTCAAAGAAGGGCAATGCCAAAGAATCTTCAAACTATTGCACAATTCCACTCATTTCACATGCTAGCAAAGTAATTCTCAAAATTCCCCAAATCAGGCTTCAACAGTACATGAACCAAGAACTTTCAGATGTTCAAGCTGGATTTAGAAAACCCAGAGGAACCAGAAATCAAACTGCTAACATCTGCTGGATCATAGAAAAAGCAAGAGAGTTCCAGAAAAACATCTACTTCTGCTTGACTACTCTAAAGCCTTTGACTGTGTGGATCACAACAAACTGTGGAAAATTCTTAAAGAGACAGGAATACCAGACCACCTTACCTGCCTCCTTTGCAGGAGAGAAGCAAGTTAAAACCAGACATGGAACAACAGACTGGTTCCAAACTGCGAAAGGAGCATGTCAACGCTGTATATCATCACCCTGCTTATTTAACTCATATGCAGAGTACATCAAGTGAAATGCTGGACTAGATGAAGTACAAGCTGGACTCAAGACTGCCGGGAGAAATGTCAATAACCTCACATATGCAGATGACACCACCCTTGTGGCACAAAGGGAAGAAGAACTAAAGAGCCTTGATGAAGGTGAAACAGGAGAGTGAAAAAGTTGGCTTAAAACTCAACATTCAAAAAACAAAGACCATGGCAAATAGATGGAGAAATAACGGAAACAGTGAGACTTTATTTTCTTGGGCTCCAAAATTACTGAAGATGGTGATTGCAGCCATGAAATTAAGATGCTTGCTCCTTGGAAGAGAAACTATGACCAACCTAGACAGCATATTAAAATGCAGAGACATTACTTTGCCAACAAAGGTCTGTCTAGTCAAAGCTATGGTTTTTCCTGTAGTCACGTGAGATGTGGACCATCAAGAAGGCTGAAGGCCAAAGAACTGATGCTTTTGAGCTGTGGTGTTGGAGAAGAGTCTTGAGAGTCCCTTGGACTGCAAGGAGATCAAACCAGTCAATCCTAAGGGGAATCAATCCTGAATATTCATTAGAAGGACTTAGGCTGAAGCTGAAACTCCAATTCTTTGGCCACCTGATGTGAAGAGCCGACTCATTAGAAAAGACCCTGATGCTGGGAAAGATTCAGGGCAGAGGAGAAGCGGTCGACAGAAAATGAGATGTTGGATGGCATCACCGATTCAATGGACATGAGTTTGAGCAAACTCCAAGAGATAGTGAAGGACAGGGAAGCCTGGTGTGCTGCAATCCATGGGGTCGAAAAGAGTTGGACACAAGTGAGCAACTAAACAACAAACAGAAAAGGCTTTACTCGCTCTCATTTAAGAGTCACCAACTACTCTAGATTTATACTGAATGAGTTATTTCTTAATAAAGCGCCCAGCCTAGTGCCTAGCAGTTGGTGTAAGTGTGAAATTGTTATTAATATGATAATCCTAGAGTATAATTAAATTTCACAAAGAAGGAAGATTTCCAGTTGGCATTTAATGAGGCAATTATACTGGAACAGAGATCTCTTCTATAAGAATCTTCAACATGGCCCCAAAAAGTTTTCCTGTTGGGTATGCAGAGAAACTAAGGCCAAGATGGAAATAAAACAGAGAAGCGTCTTCAGAAACAGTCTTCCTCTAAAAGTTTGCATCATAAGGAAAAAAAAGAAACTGTAACTATATGAGGTGATGGAAGTTAACTAAACTTACCATGGTAACCATTTCACAGTGGGTAAGTATGAGAAGTCCTTCTGTTGTATACCTTAAAACATATCTAAATAAAACTGGGGAAGAAGTCTCCCATAAATTCTCAGAACATTTTGAAATCTTTCTTTGTTTTATGCAATTCTGCCAAGTGACTGTAATTATGCACATGTCTTTTTTCCTCATCTAAGCTGTACTCATAATTCATCCATTCAACAAATATTTATTGAGCTCCATTACACACCACACACCCTACCCTTCCCAGTGCTGGGGACATATCAATGGGCAAAATAAAAATGACTGTCTTTGTGGAGCTTATGCAGTGTTAGGGGAGACAACATAAACATAATACATAAGTAAATTATGTAGTCTGCCAGAGGGTGATAAGTACATGGGGTGGAATAAACCAAGATAAGGAAATGGGATTCGCAATTTTTTAAAAGTGGTCAGGATGAGTTTCGTGGAGAAAATCATCACCAAAATGAACTGGGGTCCAACTGAGCAGAGTTCTAGAAAGTGAGTGGTGACAGTGACTATCACAGCTCAATCACCAAAAATCTAGCAGAGTTCCCTGCATGTAGTAAATAATCAATAATTGTTTGCTGATTAAATAAAGTTCAAGGTCTTGTCTAAAACAACATACCAAATTGAAGAGTGGACAAGAATGATTTGTCTGTAGCATGTCAAAACTATGATTCCTACTGAAGCACCAGTGTCAGAGCCTTATCCCTAAAAGAAAACACTAATCAGTATGAGCACAGTGGAAGTTATTAAAAATGACTATTACCCTTGGGGGAAAAAAAGAAAACATAACAATGTTTCTTCAAGCAACTGATTTTACTAATCAGCCTCTCATTATTTTAAATTCAGAGTCAGCATTTACTTTCCACAGTACCCTTATATATTTATGCCAAATTGGTCTTGACTTTCTGCCATAAAGTTTATGTGCCATGATAAACATACTTGTCAGAAGGGACTTTGTCTTTTCATTTAATTTTAGGTATAAAATGACAAAGCTATCTCAAATATCATGTTTGAACTTAGTGATTAATGCATAATTGGATCATACTTACAACCTGTTTCTCAGTAATAAATTATATTTTAGCTTACATACAGCAAAGTTAACACAAGCAAACTTTTTTCCAATAAATTATTTCACGCAGGTATATGCTTATGAATCTATTTAATTGTTCAAACTGTGCTAGAGAATACATATTTTGGAGTACATAATTTGTTAGATTTAGTTACAACAGAGGTGATTTCAATGGGAATTTCTTATACTGTTCTACTTATCAAAAAATTATTAAAAAATATCCATATCATTTGCTCCCAAATCTGTTATGTCAAAATATATTTTTCAATTATACATTTAATTATGTCACTTTCAGCTAATTTATTTCATAAATATTAGAGATCTCATTTTAAATTATTTTATGAATATTTCCAAAACATGTTTTCTAATTATTTTTCTAGTGAAGACAAATAATTGACCCATATTTACACATAAATATTCTCTGCACAGTGATTTTTTTTAAGAAACTAGTATGGAAAGTGCAAAGCTCAGGCTCCCTAGGGCAAAGCCAAAAAAAAAAAGCAAAATTTAATTATGCCTCCTGATTTTTTACTTTTTGAATTTTACTTTCTCCCCTCGTCTATTTTTTAAATGCTAGAAATTTACCTTAAAAACATAACAGTGTTACTATTTCAATTATTTGCCAGTGGTAGGGGTGGGGTAGTTTATTTTATATTATCCCCCCCAAAAAAATCATGGTTTCAAATTCATCAGGAGTAAATATATTAACTACCTGGGATCAAAATGGAGAGCCCTTCAAGATAAGCAGTTGTGCAGTCAGCATGACTTGAATTAGTCAGGATAGCAGGAATCTGGGGTCAGAGCTGTTTCCACCATTTTGGTCTGACCACGATAATTAAGTTTGATCCTGTTTGTGTAGCACTTGTTTCTGTCATAGGTGTAACAGGTCTCAATGTCTCTATCACAGATATTGCTCTGGCTGGCAGTAACTACTTGATCTTCCAGCTCCACTTCTGTAGAGTCACATTTTTTGCACCTGAAAAACAAATACACACATTAGACACTCCCCATCAAATGTTGTCTCAGAATCTGAGTGACTATACATTTCTATCCAAAATCAGTTAGTTCTGACAAAGGATGACTCCTTTCAGACTTCAACTTCTCTATAATACAGAATTATTTATGTGATTTTTCAACTTTTAACTGAAAGTAAGCAATAGAATTAATATATATGATTGTGTACACTATTCAGTAACTTCCACTCTGTTAAATTTATTCCCAACTGTATAATAGGCTAAATTAATTATTTACAGTAATGAAGAAGGGAGGGGTTTTTTTTTATGTTGGAGTCTATGGTTTCCAAAGAAACACCTGCAAGTTAATGGGTCTGAATTATTGAACTAAAAAGACAAATTGGTCCTTCTTGTACTAGTGACAATAATTATTTCTTTAGAATATATTTAGAACTAACTTTTATTTATAAAAGTTTATGAATTTCTGATGGCTAATAATTAACATGGGCTTCCCTGGTGGATCAGACAGTAAAGAATCCGCCCGCAGTGCGGGAGCCCTGGATTCAGTCCCCGGGTCGGGAAGATCCCCTGAAGGAGGGCATGGCAACCCACTCCAGTATTCCTGCCTGGAAAATCCCCATGGACAGAGAGGCCTGGCAGGCTACAGTCCATGGGGTTGCAAAGAGTCAGACACAACTGAGTGACTAAGGACAGGACAGCACAGCACTAATTAACATATGAATTAATGTATTCAAAAGTTCAAATGATATTGGTAAATGTTTGTACTCCAATATGTTTTCAAAAACATTCTTACTAACAAGTTTAATGAAAAGTTATTGACTTAGGTATCTTTATTAGTGTGAAGGAAAATCTCTTACAGGTCAGACAAATGGTACACAAACTTGGTTCTCATTGGTGAGGTAGGATCAGAGATATTCTCCCTGCTGTTCAGAGGAACACTAAAAAAAAGAAAAAAAGAAAATGAAGAATAATGAAATTAGCAGATACTGCTGTTTTTGGTAATAGGTATATTGCTAGGACAGTGCTTACTATTTCATTCAGACATTTAGGACATTTATAGCTCTCTATAAACACTCTTTAGTAACACTATTACTCATATTTCACAGTAATTGCTACATTTTAAACAATTTCATTCAAAATAAACCTCACAACAACTCCTGTCAATTATCTTTTATTACTTGGTAAATCCCTGCTTTTCCTTTAAAAATAAGCTCAAGTTTTACTTTCTTTGTGATTTTTACCTCAATCCCATTTCCATCCCTCAATAAACTTCTCATCTGTAGTCTTATTAATATTTCATATACCTTTACTATACTGCCATATTATAGTTGCTTACCTACACAATAGCTGTTTCTAGATTCTATAAATTCCTTGAGCCAAAAACATTTACACATCCCAGTGCCTTGCTATAGGTGTGACATATAGAATATGTCCAATATTTGTGAATGAATGGACAGACATATACTAAAGATCACATTTTAGAAATGTGGTAATTACAAATCAGAGAGGTTGGTGACCTACCCAAGTTCACACAAGTACTAAGAAGTAAAGCTGGAACTGGAATTCAGACCTTTTGAGTTGGAGGTTTTCCATGAAAACTTAGATAACATATCAGCTAGTTCAGGCGATTTCATTAACTTTACATTTTTTCATCTATGTCATCATTCCTCTTGATATGCACTGCTCCCTACCAAAAGATCCCCAAAAACCTCAGGTTTTCCTAACTCAGTATTTACCAATATTATCCACATATATATCCAAGTTAAAAAGTTGGATTCTGTCCCTCAGTCTTCCCTCTCTGTCACCACCTAGGTCTAAATCCATCTCACAGTTCAATTGACTCTAATACTTTGCATCTTTGAACTTGATTCAGGACACCACCCTTCTCTCCTAATTTGTAGCATTACCTTCCCTCAGTCGTGACCCCTCCCATGCGTTGGCCACATTATTGCCAAAACAGTTTTTTAAACTATGAGCCTAATTTCCTTCTCTGCTTAAAGCCTACATTGTTTCCCCACAGAAAACAAGGTATCAATAAAATGGCATAGAAGGCACTGCATGATGCACCTCTAACTCCCCAGCCTCATCTCTCACCACACCACCTCTTTACACCATGTGTCAGATGTAAACAACTGTTTGCTATCATACAAAACTTCCCAGGATATTCTCATCTCTAAGTGCTAAAGATAACAAAAACAGTAATAGCTCTAACATCTGTGGCTTGGATGGTAAAGCGTCTACCTACAATGTGGGAAACCCAGGTTCAATCCCTGGGTTGGGAAGATCCTCTGGAGAAGGAAATGGCAACCCACTCCAATACTCTTGCCTGGAAAATCCCATGGACAGAGGAGTGTGGTAGGCTACAGTCCATGGAATGCAGAGTCAGACATGACTGAGCGACTTCACTTTCACTTTACTAAAAAGTTTGTGCCTGGTACTATGATGAACACGTTAACATGATGATCTCATAAAACTGTCACAGAAACTGTTTCCTTTTCTTGGAATTATCTGCTACCCCTATCAACTCTGTCATCACCCACACACATTTCTACCACTTACTCCAAATACCCTCTCCGGCCTCCCCCTGACTCTCCCACTTTCCCCACGGACCCCTCCCTTGTGCTCCTATAACGTCCTATACCTATTCCTGTCACAGCATTTACAATACTGCATTGTAATTGCCTTTCAATTATTTACAGTTCCCTACTAGACTGTAAATTATTTGATGGCAAGGACTGTGTTTTATATAAATTATTGTATCCCCAGCTCCAATCCTCAGTGGCTTTCAGAAGCACTCGATAAATGTTTGTCAAATTAATAAATGAATGAATGAACATATCTATTCTTTATTACATTACAAAATCTCTAGTAATACCAGAAAATACTTTAAATAATGAGAAAAGTAAGAGAACAGACACACCACACATGAGTATTTCACGGGGGGCTACTGTTCTAAGTGCTTTTATATATTATCATATTTAATCCTCACAACCCTAGGATGTGTATATATACATACCTACACATATCCCTTTTTTTAGTTTAGGGAACAGGCTCAGACTAGTTAAGTAACTTGCCCAAAGTCATATCATCATTAAGTGATGGAGTTGGGAATAATGCCATAATGACACAGCAATGATAACAGAACTTTCAGAAATAAGGTTAAAGAAGTATCAATATACGTCAGGGAAATGGCATGAAGTTACTGAACTGCCTGATTTCAGTAAACATAATATCATAGAAAGGATCATGTCATTAAAAAAAAAAGATAAATCAGAGAATCCCAGAGTATCATTTCAAATCTGCCCTTGGAGATTTAAATATGAGAGACTTATATTGAAGAGACTCCTCTTCAACACTATTTAGGTGCCAGTGTCATTGATGCCATTCTGTTAAGATACATGCTTCTCCAATTATTCTATCCTTAACAGGGAACTGGGGCTTCCCTTGTAGCTCAGTCGGTAAAGAATCTGCCTGCAGTGCAGGGGACCCAGGTTCAATCCCTGGGTTGGGAAGATCCCCTGGAGAAGGAAATGGCAACCCACTTCAGCATCCTTGCCTGGAAAATCTCATGGACACAGGAGCCTGGTGGGCTGCAGTCCATGGGGTCACAAAGAGTTGGGCACGACTGAGTGACTAACACTTACTTACTTACTTAACAGGGAACTAAATGGTATGGACTTGAGTGGTCAAAGAAAACTTGCTCAAGGAAGTGATGTCTAAGCTAAGACATGCAGGCTGAGGAGTTAACCAGCCTAAGAGGGGTGCAAGAAAGAGTCCTTCAAGCAGAGGAATAGATTATGCAAAAGCAGAAGAGGAAGAAAGAGGTACTGCAACATACTGATTTTTCAAACATAAGGTGAAAAAGAAGTGGCCATGGAAGAGCTTGAGAGTTATGCTGAGCACTGTAGGTTAGGCTGAAACATTCATAATTTATCCTAGTAACAACATTGGGGGTACCAGCAAAAGGATTTTAAGAAGGGTAGTGGCATAATGATAACTGGCACATAGGTTAGGTGAATAAATAACAGTAAATATTTTTTGAAAATGTGCCAGGAACTACATAGTCTTTAAAAGGAATAGATCTCAATTTATCTTTACAATAACCCTATGAATACATATTATTTTCCTATTAATATTTAGAGATGAGAAAGTTTAAGTTTAGAAGGGTTAAGTAACTAGCATACCATAGCACATAGCTACTAATATTTAGTGACAACCAGAACTCAAAACAAATTCTTAAGCATATTATACTTCTCCTATTGATTACATGGGATTGAATGCTATATTCTGTTTCAATAAGAGGTATTTGATTCAGGAGGGAAACTACTGAAAGTAGCAGAAGTACTTCACAAGAGAGACATTAATGACTGGATCCAATAGAAATCTCAGTTCTTAAATATTATTAGTGTTTTTGCCGTTGAATACGACTCAGAGCTTATAACTTAAGACTATGTGTGAAATGAAATGAGTATCTGAAGTCCAATACACAAATGGAGATGAAATCAATGTAGTAAATTTAATTAGTCTACCTTACTTTTATGCAGACAGATGAAGTTGAATACAAGGTGAAGAACTTTGTGGTCCATATATGGTGCAAAACAAGCCCTTCAAAATTATCTCAAGTTTCACTTTGAACTGATCAAGGGCAACTGTAAGTTCTGATTCAAACTGAAATAACTCCATATAAACAGGGCATGTTGATGACTAGAGACGAACCTCCAGTTATTATTGGATGTAGCTGACTGGTTTTAGGTTGCCTGCAAACCTCTGTCTCTGCTCCCAACTACATAATTGGCTTAAGCCCATTACCCCGATTCAACCTCATGTAAGCTGTTATACTTAGGCTTCCCAGGTGGCACTAGTGGTAAAGAACCCGCCTGTCAATGCAGGAGGCACAAGAGACATGGGTTCTATCTCTGGGTTGGGAAGACGCCCTGGAGGAGGAAATGGCAACCCACTCCAGTATTCTTGCATGGAGAATCCCATGAACAGAGGAGCCTGACAGGCTACAGTCCGAGGGGTCACAAGAGTTAGAAATGGCTTAGCAACTAAACAACCACCACCAAGGTGTTACCCACTGAAAAGAGGAGCAAAGATATAGGTATCACATGCAAACGACCACTAATATCAGAAAGTATCTGCTCACAAAATGAAAAAATGAAGCATGAAATACCACATACATAATTCTGATGTTTCTCTCCACAATGTCTTGACTAGGATCTTCAGCAGAAGGGATGATCCTGGAAGTAATCCGGGCACACTGACATTTGTTGTCAACAAGAACAATCCTTTCATTTTCATCTTGGGCTTGAAAGATAAATATTATAAGAAGAAAGGTAACCAAAAGTCTAATTTAATACTTTGTATCAAGTTAATTTATCACCCTCCCCAGCAGAAAAAGTTTTTTTGCTGATCAGTTTCAGCTTTCTCCATTTGTTCTCTTTCCTAACCTAAAGGAGCTAAGTGGAATCTCACAGCATAGTGAAGGAAATACAAATGAATTCCAAAAGGAATTTTCTCACTTTTCCTTGGACCAGTCTATGGGAACCTGAACTGAAAAAATTCTGGTTTTAATCAAATGCTTTTAATGGAGGCACAACCCTCTGAATGATAGAGCTTTGTAAAAAAAAAATTAGTGCCAAATGCCAAAATGAGAGAGAAAACAAACATCTAGACTGAATTTCTCTCAGACTAGAGAAATTTATTCAAAAGTGAACAAGTAAACCAGTTTTTTATAATAAAAACACCCTTCCTGAACACCCATTCATACTTTTTTCCCTTATGCTAAGAACATGCACATTTTCCCCAAGATAACCTTATTTTGTAAGACTTTAAAATTCTCCATTAAAATTTTCCTAAACTTAATTATATTCTTCCTTTTCATAATAACAATCAGGTTATCATGACATAATGATTTAATCCATTAAGTTCTATATTTATTAATATTTCTTATAAGACTTATTTTTAAAGATACAGTATCTATAGATGTAAAGTGCTATAAACTTGCTAAAACAGTTTAGAATATGTTGTTAGGTACAAGTTCTATTTCATATAACATGCATGTGTACAGAAAAAAATAACAAATGAGTGAATATACAAATAACTATTAAAACCGTAACTGTAAATGTCAACATTTACTGTCCAACCTGAATATGAGATAAAATGTCTGGTAAGTGCTGCAAAGAATTAACAAAATTTCTTATCATCTTTCTTATACCAGATGTATATATTCTATACATATATTTGAGGAAGTAACAATAAATAACTTTATTTAATAGTGATAATTAAACAATAATAATGATGTTAAATATCTTTTTCATTCCTATAATTTTAGCTAAATGAGCTTTAAAATTTCCTTCCATCAAATCTCAATTAAAAAAAAGACTTAGCACATGAATTCAAGTTATAAAGGTTAAATGATAAGGAAATAAATTGTAACTGGACATCAAATTATTCCACAGATGATCTCAGAGCAGAAAGGACCTAACTACAGTATTTCAGTCTTAAGGATACAGTCATTACAAAAACAATTTAAGATAATTGTTATGGTACTTATAACTGTTTTAAGTACAATGCATTATTATGTCATTATTCATAAGTTCTTGATAAATCTTCTCATGAAAGTCTTACAGTATTGTAGAAAAACCATTATGAAGTCAATTTAAAATAATGATATAATTCTTAATTTTTTTAAAAGAGTAAGAATATTTAAAAGGTATCCTCTTCCCTACTCCTGTATTAGTGACTTTTAAATGTTTTTCTCATTAAAATACAAATAAGCAGGCAATACCTGACCAAAAATATAGGTGGGAGTTGAGTATGTGACTTGACTATTAAGTCTTAAATAGAAAATATATATGTTTTGTTTATGGCACATATTATATTTTCTTGCCAGAAACCTAGGGGGGAAATATCTTTACTGTTATTATATAAGAATACTAGGTAGCCTAATATACCTACCAGGAAAACGTAAAAATACATTCAATTCACCAAGACTTTTAAGAGTCTAACTTCTGTTTCATCAACAGGAAATATTTTTCCTAATACACCTGCTATTATAGACTATGCCTTACTTTATTCCAAGAGCACCTGAGACAGAGTAGGTGGCTCAATAATTATTTGTTAAACAACTTAATTCAGTTCAAGTAAGAAAACAGACTTAACACATACTAGTTATGAATGTAAAGAGTTTACCAAAAAGGTGATTCTCTCATACAGGGAGAAGAGGAGACTAGATAGGAGTGTGGGCTATGGTGTCAGATGGCCTGAGCTCCACCTACCACATGCCTGTCGTGTGACCTTAGGCAAGTTACTTCACCTCTTTAAACTTCAATGGGCTCAAGGATATGTCAGAAATAATGAGAGTACTTACCCTCAAACGGTTACTGTGAGAATTAAATGGAACAGAATATGTAAAGCAGTTAGCATAATGTCTAGAATATAGTATGTACTCAATAAGTTACAGCTCTTTTATATATAAATGGCTATATATGTTCCATGGATATGTTTATAGGTATATAAATATGTTCATAAACACATATATTTTTATATATAGGTACACATTATATACAGTTTACTACTGCTATCTTTATGTTTTAAATATTATTAGAAATTCATTATTCTTAATACTAAATTAGTGAAAAGTATATGTAAAATCACTATTCTTAATTACATCATACTGTCCTGAAATAATAAGCTTAAAAAAAAGGAATAAACTCAGTAAATCTTGAAACAATATATATCAAATTATATCATTTCTAATTCACATACCCTTCTAGATGAAGATTATTAAAACTATACTTTCATATTCAGAAAATAATCCATTTTCTACAATAGTTTGAAAAGTTAATAAACAAGATAACTGAAGTTCAACCATCAAGTTCCAGGAAATCTGTACAACATTAAACATTGTTAAAGGGTCATAATAAATTTGTAGGCTCGGATCCAGGAAAGTTATTAGAACTAATACCAGCCTCTCTGGGGAAATAAAATCCCAATGCAGTCTATACTGTGTTTACAACAATTATTACTTCATTTCTCCAGAATATAAATTTGAGACACTCAAGGAGAGAATTCTGATTTTCAAGATTCAATATGGGTATTTGTATAGTATAACTATCTATACTTATCTAAAAATTATCTATTTTCTTATTTTCTAGGTTTTAATAGGCAGACATGTAAGAGAAAAAAGAATAAAAAGAATTACAATGAATCTTGTCCATGTTAAAGACCACTGCCCATACAAAGATTAAGACATGTTAGAAAAACAGCCAGCTAGCTGTCCAACCAAAACACAAACATAGATGTTTAATCTGAAGAACAGATCTGTATTCTATTTTCCCTTTTATCTGGGTTCATGCTCAAAATATCACATACCTGTCGCAAGAGCAGCCTTAACAAAAATGGCCAGGACTCCCCAAAAAAGCAAACAATTCTTCATCTTGACTTCACTTCTTTTGAAACACTGGAGCTAAGAAGTCAGGGTTAAGGTGTGTGATCTATAAGGAGTGTGCAAATGATGGGGCTTCTGCTTTCTTAAAATAACACTCCAGGCAGCTAACAAACTAAGATCACAACTGCGGTTGAACTCTACAATTTAAATGCTGCACTGGAAATATATTATGGCTCAGATTTACGTAGTTTCTTCCAAAATATCCACCAAAACTATGTTCTGGTGCAATCACTTTTTATTTTACATTTATTCTATATAATTAAATCAAAAGATTAATCGTTTCAAGGCATGAGCCCATTAAGAATGTTCAAACAGGGATTCTCAACGTTATTACCTAGATAATAACATATTCAAATGAAATATAATGTGGTGTTTGTTGTACCTGGAAAAATTAATAAAGCAGAGAGAAGGAAAAGGAAAGAATTAAAGCCCTTTAAGGTTCCAATTGTATTTTATGTCAACTTTTTCTTTTAGTCCTTACTTACCCAAGCTACTAGGTTTAACACATAAGTTACGGGTTATGTCTATAATACATATATTATCTCATTACGTTCAGTTATTTCATAAATTCAAATTTGCAGTTAGAAACTGTTGGCTGCTGGATATCAGTTGCCATGTTTCAATTTGACAGTATTAAAGCAGACCCTGTATTTGCTTACCCAATCATACCTTTCAGAATTGTAAACCCATGAAACAATGCTCGTTTGAGATGCCTCAACAGAAAACTGAATCACTGCAGTATTTGTTATAATTTTTTTCATTAATTAATGTCAAAAAAACAAACAAACCAAAACTGTGATCTTTCATATAGAGCATCTCCCTACGTCCTACCCCAACAGGCTAGAATAATGTCTCTTGAGCAGGGTTGGTTCCAAGAACATGCTGGTTATGTTTATATACAATATCAAATCTACGCTACTTTTGGTTTTCAGCTCTCTGATTTTTTAAGGATCACCTAGAATTTTTTTTTTAGACCAGAGTAAATAACAAACATTTTTTGGTGTCACTTATGGTAGAAAAAAGTTCCTACACCAGATACACATGACCCAGTTGTTAAATAGAACATTTTCAAGGTGAACACATGCCCTAACCCAGCTTTTTTTTTTTTAACCCACTTTTGATGACAGCCAATTCCTCCTTGCCCCCCACCCCAAGACATGTGAGCAACTGCTAATGAAAAGCAGTAAACAGCCACTTGGGCTATAGCATTTTCAACTCCACTCCAAGGTGAAGATTCCAATTACATTTGAGACTTAAGTTCTCTCAATTTTCTCCTAATGAAAGTTCCTGAGTCCAGTATTTACAATATTACAACACTAGCAGAGCAGTGTCTACAACTCATCTTTGTCTGCTGCTTCGTCCTCATTGGTTGTGGGAGGATCACCTAGAATTTTGACAGTTACTAAAGAAATACTTCAGGGTAAGTAGGCAAGTGGGCTTAACAGCTGGAAGCAAAAAAATTGCAGAATGAATGTTATTAAAAGCCAGCACACAACTGTACTCCTTTAATTAACATGTACTGAGTGACTAGAAAGAATAAAGTGCCAAGCACTAGAATACACAATATTATTGCACTGTCAAACCTTACTCTCACCTTAGTTTCTACCCTCATAGTACTTAAAAACTATTCGGGGTTAAGAAAAATATACCAGATTCACATGAATAATTATAACTGTTAGAAAAATAAACATCTGAAAGCTCATTATTTTAGTGTGTAGTCAGGATGTCAAAATAACTGTCAACCACTTAAAAGTCTTAAGTGTTTTGACATCTAATTGTTTTGACATCTGAATAACTGATTTATTATAACACTCAAAAAAAAAAAAACCACAGTAAATAGAAGTTAGCTGGATACATTTTTAAGTCATTATTTCCTTGAAAAATAAACTCTGGGGTAGACTGCCTTCTCAAAGCAAGTTGGATAAATTCCTGGAGACAAATTAAAACTTCCCCCTGGAAACTTATTTTTTATAAGAGCAAATATTGACATATATTTACTAAGCTAAAGAAACACTCTGTATTTGATATTTTTATTCTTCCAAACTTATAGCTTTGTAATTCTATTATATAATCCATGCATCTATAAGAAATTATTTTAATAAAGTGTGGACAGTGCCAAGTAGCACTTCTGCCACCAGACAAGAGTTATGTACACACATAATCTAGGGTCGGGACAAGTGTTCTGTCAAGTGTGGTACAGGATTACTTGAAGTATTAGTCAAAATACACACTTTTTGGCTACACCAACCAGAATCTTGGGAGATATGTTCTTGAAATGTGTATTTTTAAAAACGCTTCCAGTTGATTCTGATGTATACGAAAATTTGAAAATTGGTAAACTAAGAAGCCTGTGGAGGAGAAGAGTAACCAGCAGCATTAACTACGGAAGAGCAAGAAGTTAATAAAGGTAATTTCTTTTTAACAAATGGGCTTACACTGAAAATTACTTAACTTAGGCTTTTATTTATCTGTATCTATGTTTTACAGGTGAATTGTCTCATAACCTGCTCAGTTCAGTTCAGTCACTCAGTCATGTCTGACTCTTTGCGACCCCATGAACTGCAGCATACCAGGCCTCCCTGTCCATCACCAACTCCTGGAGTCCACCGAAGCCCATGTCCATTAAGTCGGTGATGCCATCCAACCATCTCATCCTCTGTCGTCCCCTTCTCCTCCTGCCCTCAATCTTTCCCAGCATCAAGGTCTTTTCCATTGAGTCAGCTCTTTGCATCAGGTGGCCAAAGTGTTGGAGTTTCGGCTTCAACATCAGTCCTTCCAATGAACACCCAGGACTGATCTCCTTTAAGATGGACTGGTTGGATCTCCTTGCAGTCCAAGGGACTCTCAAGAGTCTTCTCCAACCACAGTTCAAAAGCCTTTTCAGGAGGTCTGGTTTAATTTTTAAAGTACTTCATCTCTGGTTTTGTTCTTCACACCGAAAAAATGTGAAATGTAAATAGTTTCATTTAAGTAAGTTAAATAATTGGAAGCTTGGCTCAATGTTCTAAATTTTTCACCAAAAATGGTTTATTTTTCCACACACATATAAAATTCTTACAGTAAGATTTTCAGTGATAGATTCATTTGAATGAAAGAGATCTTATGGTGATTTAGTCTCACCCTCTCTACTCCCGCTCAAGTTTTGTTTCAATTTCCTATCAGCAGACAGGCTGAGTTTAGAAAACCGTCTGAAAAAGGTCAATGCTTCACTTCCTCTGTATATAGCTTATTATATTCAGGATACTCAAATCATGAAAAAACACTTGATTCTCTTGAGACATAGAAAATACCCTCTTCTTGTTGTCTTACTATCTCACTGACAACTCCAGTTCAGGATCTTGCTGAATTTTCCTTTGAATCTTAAGGTTGATCCTCAGCCTTCTCTTTTCTCTTATCCTCTCCTTAACTGATTTTATCTTATCCCATGGCTTTGAATATAAGACACGCTGTGACCTTCAGATGTGTGACTGTAGACTTCATCTTGCCCACTGAGCTGCAAACTCCTGTATCCAACTTTCTTCACTGGGCAGTCTAAAAGGTATCTAAAACTTAACCAGGCAAAAATAGTACTCTTGATGACCAAGCCACCCTCACAATTCCGCTCCAATCTCTCTCTGTCTCTGCTCTTCCTCATCTCTGTAAATGGCACCTCCAATCTACCACCTCCATCTAGGCTGCTCAAGGCAAAATCTTCTTCTTTAATCCATTTCTGTTCTTCTCCCTCACATTCAATTTATCACCATGTCTTACTTGGTTTTATTTCCAAAATACATCCCCAATTTATCTAATTCTCTCTGTTTTCACTGCCACTCTAGTTCAAGCCTCCATCCTCTTTCCTAAAACTATTAAAATAGCCTCGTAATAAAAAGTGATTTTTTTGCTCCAGAATTGGCAATGAGGGTTCACAGTTAAAAGGCTAAAGTACCTTAAATTCTATAAAGAGTTACAGCCTTCCTCCAAGACTTAACAAGAAGCAACAGAACTCAACTTACTGCTATCAATGCCAGAGTACTCCTAGCTACCTCCTCCAGTCCTTAGAGAACTTTGGAGGGAAAAGAGGAATGCTATCAAAGAAGCTTATGGAAATAGCACAGTTTGTGGTAAGAGACTTTCCTCCTTTTACTTTTGAGAGAGGGCAGGATAAGGTTTTCTTTTCTCCCCAAAGTAAAGTGAGGGAGAGGATCAAGAAAATAATGAAATCAGGGGCCCTGCAAGAAGGGGATATTGAGAAACAATATATATAATAATTCAGAGAAAAGTTTCTGAGTCTAACTGCTTGGGTTTACCATGCAATCCACCACTTACTAGTTGTGTGACACGAGGCAAACCTTGGTCAAAGTGCTTGACCTCTATGTTTCAATTCCCCTCGCTATAAAATGACATAACATGTATTTCACAGAATTGTTGTGAGACTTAACATATACTGCCACATATAAAGAAGTCAGATCTTGGCATATGGTAAGTGCTCTATCAGTTCAGTTCAGTTCAGTCACTCAGTCATATCCAACTCTTTGTGACCTCATGGACTGCAGCACACCAGGCTTCCCTGTCTATCACCAACTCCTGGAGCTTGCTCAAACTCCTGTCCATTGAGTTGGTGATGCCATCCAACCAACTCATCCTCTGTCGTCCCCTTCTCCTCCCATCTTCAATGCTTCCCAGCATCAGGGTCTTTTCAAATGAGTCAGCTCTCCGCATCAGGTGGCAAAGTATTGGAGTTTCAGCTTCAGCATCAGTCCTTCCAATGAATATTCAGGACTGATTTCCTTTAGGAAAGACTGCTTGGATCTCCTTGCAGTCCAAGGGACTCTCAAGAGTCTTCTCCAACATCACAGTTCAAAAGCATCAATTCTTTGGTGCTCAGCTTTCTTTATGGTCCAGCTCTCACATTTGTACATGACTACAGGAAAAACCATAGCTTTGACTAGATGGACCTTTGTCAGCAAAGTAATGTCTCTGCTTTTTAGTGCTATATAGGTACTAGTGATTAGTATCATCATCATAACCATTATCACCAGCATTATGTTGGTCACTACTTGCTGGGTTGCATAAAATGCAAATCGAACTCGGGGCTATTGACTGCAATGAAATTTAAGGAAAACACTCCTGGGAGATTCCTGACATATCCCTTTGGGGTTGCAGGCATGTAGGAACATAGAAACTGATACGGGCTTCTGTCACATGACCCTTATAAGGTATGTACGAAAATATCCAACAAACCTATAGGAGTAATCAAAACAGTAGGGCACTGGCATGAAAAAAAACACACAGACAACTGGAACAGAAGGGAGAACCCAAAAATAAATCCATACATATATGGTCAACTAATATTTGACAAAAGAGACAGTAAGTCTCAATGGAGAAACACTAGTCTCTTCAGTAAATGGTGTTGGGAAAACTGGATATTCATATGCAAAATAATGAGTGGACCCCTCTTATTAAACCACTCATAAAAATTAATTTGAAATGGATTAAAGACTTAAATGTAAGACCTAAACCTTAAAACTTCTAGAAGAAAACATACAGAAAAGAACTCCTTATAATTGTTCTTGGCAATAATATTTTGGATATTACACCAAAAGCACAAGCAAAAAAAAAAGAAAAAAACAAACAACAGGGACCAGCAAACTAAAGAGTTTCTGCACAGCAAAAGAAACAATTAGCAAAATGAAAATGCAACTTATGGAATGGGAAGAAATATTTACAAACCATATATTTGATAAAAAGTTAATATATATAAAATAAAGAAGGAACTCATACAACTAAATGGCAAAAAATCTGATTTTTAAATGGGCAGAAGACTTAAATACACATTTCTCTAAAGAGGGCATATAAATGTCCAACAGGTACATGATAAGGTGCTCAATATCGCTAATCACCTGGGAAATGTAAATCAAAACCATGAGATATCACATCATAGCTGCTGAAAATGGCTATTATCAAAAAGATAAGAGATACAAATGCTGGTAAGGATGTGAAGAAAAGGGAAACCCTGGTATTCTGCTGGTGAGAATGTAAACTGATACAATGGCTATGGAAAACAATATGAAGATTTTTAAATATAAAAATAAAACTATCATTTGATCCAGTAAGCCTACTTCTAGGTATATATCCAAAGGAAATTAAACCATGATCTCAAAGACATCTACACACCCATGTTCACTGAAGCATTATTCATAATAGCCAAGACATGGAAATGACCTAAGTGTCCACACACAGACAAACAGATAAAGAAATGTGATAAATATATTAAACTTACACAACATTATATGCCAATTATTTCTCAGTGAAGCCAAAAGGAAGAAAAGAATATATATCCAGAGTTTTCTGACTTGGAGGGGAAGGCAGAAGACACTTGGGAAGAGTGTTATTTACTTGTAATAGCCTAAAACTGGAAGCAACTTAAATGTCTATTTTTAAAACTGCCTGTGAATGCAGTTTTAAAATAAATGTGAATGAGCTGTTGCTACATTAAGTATGATGTTAGGCTTTCCTTGAATGCCCTTTACCAAGGTGATGAAGTTCCTTTCTGTTCCCAGTTTGCTGAGATTTTTCTTCTTTATCAGAAATGTATACTGTATTTTTTTTAATTAAATGCTTCTTCTCTGTTGGATGACCATATCATTTTCCTTTTTTAGTTTGTTAGTATGGTAAATTGCACTGATTTTAAAAGTTCAAACTAAACTTGCATTCCTGGGATAAAACCCTCTTAATTATGATGTAACATCCTTTTTATAAACTGATGAGCTCAACTCACTAACATTTTGCTTAGAATTTCTGCTTTTATGTGCATTATGGATATTAGTCTGAAATGTTCTTTTATATTAATGTTTGCCTGGTTTTATCAGGATAATGCTGGCCCAATAGAATAAGTTTAGAAGTATTTCCTCCTCTCAATGTTCTGGAAGAGCTTATAGAATTGCAATATTTTCCATATAATGTTTGGAAGATTTCACCAGTGAAGCCATGGTCTAGAAATTCTCTCAAGAAAGCTAGCTGGGGCAATTGCAAAGGTCTCCTCATCTGTTTTCTGTTTCTTCAAGATCACTGTCCTTTGTCGCCTAATGGCCAATGTCTTAAAAATCACTTTCATAGATTTTGTCAGCTGTTCCAAGCAGGAAGGTAAGTCTGGTCTCTACTATTCCATTTTGTTTGAATTAGATGTCAAAGACTTGAAATTAACAAAAAAGCAGGCCTATAATCCCCTTCATGGATTATAGTCTTGCCGTGGCGAACGAACTTGCATAACTCAATGATGCTATGAGCCATGCCACACTGCAGGGCTAAACCAAGGCAGACAGGTCATAGTGAAGGGTTCTGACAAAACATGGTCACTCACCTACAGCCAGACATCCTAGAGTGTGAGGTCAAGTGAACTTTCAGAAGCATTACTGCAAACAAAGCTAGTGAAGATGATGGAATTTCAGCTGAGCTATTTATAATCCTAGAAGATGATGCTGTTAAAGGGCTGAACTCAATAATAGCAAATCTGGAAAACTCAGCAGTGACCACAGAACTAGAAAAGTCAGTTTTGAAAACTGAAAAGGTCAGTTTTCATTCCAATCTCAAAGAAAGGAAATGCCAAAGAATGTTCAAACTACCATACAATTGTGCTCATTTCACACGCTAGCAAGGTTATGCTCAAAATCCTTCAAACTAGGCTTCAGCAGTATGTGAACTGAGAACTTTCAGATGTACAAGCTAGGTTTGGAAAAGGCAAATAAACCAGAGATCAAATTGCCAACATTCATTGGATTATTGAGAGAGCAAGGGAGGGCCAGAAAAACATCTACTTTTGCTTCTTTGACGACTCTAAAGCCTTTGACTGTGGATCACAACAAACTGGAAAATTCTTTTTTTTTTTTTTTTGGTTTTTGTCATACATTGAAATGAATCAGCCATGGATTTACATGTGTTCCTCATCCCGTTCCCCCCTCCCACCTCCCTCTCCACCCGATCCCTTCGGGTCTTCCCAGTGCACCAGGCCCAAGCACTTGTCTCATGCATCCAACCTGGGCTGGTGATCCGTTTCACCCTAGATAATATACATGTTTCGATGCTGTTCTCTTGAAACATCCCACCCTCGCCCTCTCCCACAGAGTCCACAAGTCTGTTCTATACATCTGAGTCTCTTTTTTTGTCCTGCATATAGGGCTATCGTTACCATCTTTCTAGATTCCATATATATGTGTTAGTATACTGTAATGGTCTTTACCCTTCTGGCTTACTTCGCTCTGTATAATGGGCTCCAGTTTCATCTGGAAAATTCTTAAAGAGACAGAGGACCAGACTATTACCTTACCTGTCTCCTGAGAAACTTGTATGCAGATTAAAAAGCAACAGTTAGAACCGGACATGGAACACTAGACTGGTTCCAAATTGGGAAAGGAGTACGTCAAGGCTGTATATAGTCACCCTGCTTATTTAACTTCTACGCAGAGTACATCACACAAAATGCCAGGCTGGATGAATCACAAGCTGGAATCAATCAAGACTGCTGGGAGAAATATCAACAACCTCAAATATGCAGACAATGGCACTCTAATGGAAAAAAGTGAAGAGGAACTAAAGAGTCTCTTGAAGAGGGTGAAAGAGGAGAGGGAAAAAGCTGGCTTGAAACTCAACATTCAAAAAACTAAGATCATGGCATCTGACCCTCTCACTTCATGGCAAAAAGAAGCAGAAAAAAGTGGAAACAGTGACAAATTTTATTTTCTTGGGCTCCAAAATCACTACAAATGGTGATTGCAGCCATGAAATTAAAATATGCTTGCCCTTTGGAAAGAAAGCTATGACAAACCTAGACAGTATACTAAAAAGCAGAGACAGACATCATTTTGCCAACAAAAGTCCATATAGTCAAAGCCAAGGGTTTTCCAGCAGACATTTATGAATATGAGAGTTGGACCATAAAGAAGGCTGAGCATCAAAGAATTGAATTGTGGGGCTGGAGAAGACTCTTGAGAGTCCCCTGGACAGGAGGGAGATCATGACAGTCAATCCTAAAGGAAATCAACCCTAAATTTTCATGGGAAGGACTGATGCTGAAGCTGAAGCTCCAATACTTAAGCCACCTGATGCAAAGAGCTGACTCAGTGGAAAAGATCCTGATGCTGGGAAAGACTGAAGGCAGGAGGAGAAGGGGTAAACAGAGGATGAGATGGTTGAATGGCATCACTAACTCAACAGACAAGAATCTGAGCAAACTCCAGGAGATAGCGAAGGACAGGGAAGCATGGCAAGCTGTATCCATGCGGTTGCAAAGAGTTGGACAACAACTTAGTGACTGAACAACAGGCCTATAATATTTTTCAATAAATTCTACTTAAAATTATAGAATACTTTTTTGGCAGCTATGTTACACTATTGGCTTCTAATAATTGTACAGCCAACTAATATCCTCTTGTAAAAATTAAGTATTTCTATAAAGTATGAGATGTAAGTTTTTAGACTTAATCCAATGGCTCACCTGTAAAGAATCCACCTGAGGTGCAGGAAACACAGGAGACATGGGTTCAATCCTTTGATCGGGAAGATCCCCTGGAGAAGGAAATGGCAACCCACTCTAGAATTCTTGCCTGAAAAATCCTGTGGACAGCAGAGCCTGGCAGGCTAGAATGCAAAGGGCCACAAAGAGTCAGACATAACAAAGTGACTGAGCATGCATACACAGGACTTTTTTTAATAGACTGCATTTTAGAGCTGTTTTAGTTTCACAGCAAACAAACTACACATTTAATAGTAGAAAATGATCAGATTTATTGAATCTTCTTAAAACCTTGTAAGGCAAAGAAAATTTAATTATGGTAACTGGAAGCAATGATTAGGAGAAAAAAGTGATTTCATGTTTATAACTTATTAAACTATTTACAGCCCCAAACTTTTCTCTACATTGTCTTACCCCCATAACTCATCGTCCACATGAGTGATCTTTTTAAAAGGTAAATGAGATATATCTGACTTAAAACCCTTTACTGGCTTCTCATTACACTTAGAATAAATTCAAACTCATTATCTCCCCAGATTGCCCATAACTCTCCCTTTCACCCATCACCCTCCAGTCACTCCCGGGCAGGACCTTTGTACTCTGGCCTCTGCAGTAAACACTCCCCATATCCTTGCATGGTTGGCCCCTCATTACCAGTCAAGTCTCAAGTCAAATGTCACTGCCTCAGAGAAAATCTCCCTGATTGCTAATCATCCTAATTACTAGTCACTGTCATATTGCTCTCTTTTTTTCTTCATAGTATTTATCATTGCTCAAAATCTTATTTAGTTTACTCAGCAGCTGTCTCCTCATTGGAATAAAAGCTCCTGGAGCACCGCACGGTCTTGCTCACTTCCAAGAACTATCACGAATGCCTGAGATACATCAGCTGAATAAAGGAAGAATGGAGAACATCTTCATAAGATGCTTAAAACTGTCTAATTTTAAGTCTTCTCCTACTATTAGTCTCTTTTAGGACAGACTCTATATTGTCAATGTCACTTTTTAAATTGTAATGTCCAGAAGTGTATACAATTGTCCAAGTGTTATTTGACCAAGTACAAAACATAGCAGGACTATAACATTTTTCAATAAATGCTACTTAAGATTATAGTAACTCTTTCTTGGCAACTATGTTACACTATTGGCTTCTATTAACCAATACAATCAACTAAAATCTTCTTTTAAAAAAGTATTTTCAGTGTTTCTGTAAAGTAATGACTTCTTCACATTTAAACAGTTGGGATTTGGGTATGAGATTTAGCACTAGTCCCTAAGTTTTCTCTTACTAAACTGAAACCAACATTACAACCAACTAGATTCTTTTTGTATCCAGGTTTTGAAACCTAGCACATCTGTTATTTCTCTCAGCTTCACAGCATCTACAAACTTGATACATACACCATCAGAATCCTCATTTAAGTCATTAATAAAAATGTACAATGACATGCTGCTAAGAAAAACTTCTATGGCTTATATCTAAAGTCCCATCTCCAAGCTAACAAGAATTCATTAAAAAACACATTTTGGGTATAGTAGTTCAAGTTAACTCACACCATCAAGTTATACCATACTATCACACGAACTATAATTCTCCATTTCATCCATAAGGATAGCATAGTGCTCAACCGTTCAGTCATGTCTGATTCTGTGACACCATGGACTGTAGCCCACCAAGCTTCTCTGTCCATGGAATTTTTTAGGCAAGAATACTGGAGTGGGTTGCCATTTCCTCCTCCAAGGGACCTTCCTGACACAGGGATCAAACCCACATCTCTTGATTCTCCTGCACTAGCAGGCAGATTCTTTACTACTTGTGCCACCTGGGAAGCACAGGACAGCATGAATGCTTATCATAAGTAATCTGTCTCTCCTTTGCCTCTATCTTTAATATTCTCTCCTTGAAAGTCTTCCATAGCATAAAAGGAGGCTTGATATCCTGGCATTTTGCCAGTTAAACATTTAAAAGGATAATGGTATTTTTTAATTGGCTTCTTGGCTTTAAACCCAAGAAGTGGCTGAACTCTCTTGATTTTCCTTCTAAAGGATTGAATTCTGCATTCAGTGTAACAATCCATTGTTTCCATTTGTCCTTGAACTTGAAGAACAAGTCTTGGTTATGAATAGCACTGCCCAATCAGCTCCAAAAACATAACTTCTAAAATATGGTACAGTTATCAGCAACACAGTCTTTATACCTTCTCTCTATATATTGTGCATCTACCTTCTTTACCTTTGAGACACTAGACAATACCAAAGTAACTTTTAAATCAACATAGAAAATAAACTGAGGGAATATCCTATTATCACTGAAGGAAAGATCCAAGAATCACTAACTGTGACTACAAAAATTATCTCCAAGAGAAGCAAAGTAGGATAAAGCATTCAAAAGTGGAAAATTATTTGTGTATGTATAAATAATAAATATATAATTGTTGTCAGTTTAATTTTAAACATCTGAGAAATCCCAAAACATCCCATAGTCACTCAAAATTTCACAAATCCACTGTATATAAAGTTACTCACAAAGATTAAAGAGGGAGTTTTTCTATGACAAATGCAAGCTAACGCCCTTGATCCACTGTTGTCTGTTTCTCCCATGGAAGGTGAAAGCCTCTGGGCTGAGTTGTTCTGGACTTCCCAAAACACCAGCAGAGCACTTCTACAAAAGCAACTGTAACTTATTGAGAATTATTATCAACAAAATTTTAAAAATATGCTTATTAATGGTAAGAAGTAAACTAGCAACCACAATTGTATTTGTATGCTTTACTTCTTTACTTCTTGAATCTAGTAGTATGTGTGTGTTTGTTATATTTTCCTTGAAAACTTATATATTCCTATTAAATTTAAAATATTTTACTGCCAAAGAAAGATCAATTATCACTCCAAACAGTGCATGCCCATCTCTTCCCTTTCAGAATCTTAACGCTGGATCTATTTTGCCGATTAAGAATTAAATAATGGCCTCACAATTTGCATAATCTGAGGTTAAGTAAATACTTAGAATTAAGGACAGAATTAAGAATACTAAACTTTATTTCCAAAATTAAATTCTAATTTTTTTTTCCATTTATTTTCATTAGTTGGAGGCTAATTACTCCACAACATTGCAGTGGTTTTTGTCATACATTGAAATGAATCAGCCATGGATTTACATGTATTCCCCATCCCGGTCCCCCCTCCCACCTCCCTCTCCACCCCATCCCTCTGGGTCTTCCCAGTGCACCAGGCCCGAGCACTTGTCTCATGCATCCAACCTGGGCTGGTGATCTGTTTCACCCTAGATATACATGTTTCGATGCTGTTCTCTTGAAACATCCCACCCTCGCCTTCTCCCACAGAGTCCACAAGTCTGTTCTACACATGAGTCTCTTTTTCTTTTTTTGCATATAGGGTTATCATTACCATCTTTCTAAATTCTATATATATGTGTTAGTATACTGTAATGGTCTTTATCTTTCTGGCTTACTTCGCTCTGTATAATGGGCTCCTGTTTCATCCATCTCATTAGGACTGATTCAAATGAATTCTTTTTAATGGCTGAGTAATATTCCATGGTGTATATGTATTACAGCTTCCTCATCCATAACTTCTAATTTTTAAAAGCTTATGTGAACTCACTTTTACATGATCATACATTTGTGCAAACTATTTTACGTACCTCTTTGTCACTTGTAGATTTCATATACCAATTTCCAAAAAACTGATATAGAATACATGTTAACCTTTGAAGTAGTTATGAAATATTCCATCACGTTGATATATTATGGTTTGTCACAAATTCTCTACTACTGCACTGGAATTACTTCATTTACTATTATAGGCATGCTTCAGAGACATTGCAGCTTTGGTCCCAAACCACAGCAAAAATGTGAGTCACATGAATGCTTTGGTTTCCCAGTACATGTAAGTTATGTTTATACTATAATTTAGTCTATTAAGTGTGCAATAGCATTATGTCTTAAAAAAAAAAAAGTACTCATCTTAATTTAAAAGTACTTTAAGAACTTCCCTGGCAGTCCAGTGGTTAAGACTCTGAGCTGCTACTGCAGGCAGGGGATGCAGGCCTGGTCCCTAGTCAGGGAACTAAGATCCCACATGCCGCATGGTGCAGTCAAAAAACATTTTTTTAAAATAGTACTTTAGTGCTAAAAAAAAAATACTAACCAGCATTTGAGTCTTCGGCAAATTGTAATCTTTTTGCTGGTGGAAAGTCTGAAACACTAAGAGAATTAATGAAATGTGACACAAAGACATAAAATGAGCAAACATTGGAAAAACGACACCATTAGATTTGCTCAATGTAGGGTGGCCACAAGTCTTTAATTTGTAGAAAACACTATAAAGCAAAGTATGATAAAACAAGGCATGCCTATACACCAAAAACAATTTTTTAAAAAATGCATGTTGCCAATGTAATATGTATCCAGTATGCTGCATCCTTGGTGTTAAAATACAGCTGACCTGGCCCTGCCTTCCAGGGATTATACTCTAGTGGAGAAGACAGCTAAGGAAAATAACTAAAATAATCACAGCTTGTGATAAATGCAATGAAGCAGATAACCAAAGTACAGTCTGCATCCACAGGTTCCACATCTGCAATACACAGACCCATTTTATCTAAGTCCCATTTTACATAAGGGAATTGAGCATCTGCAGACTTTGGTATCCCCAAGGGGTCCTGGAACTACCCCCCATGGACACTGAAGGACAACGGCGGTATGACAGCATCTGGGGGAGGGCTAATTAGCCTGCTTTAGAAGAGACACTCTAGAAAGGGCTCTCTGAAAAGGTCACGAAGGCTGAAACAGGAACAAGTGAGGAGTGAAGTGCAGTGAAGTCACTCAGTCGTGTCCGACTCTTTGTGACCTCATGGACTGTAGCCTACCAGGCTTCTCCGTCCATGGGATTTTTCAGGCAAGAATACTGAAGTGGGTTGCCATTTCCTTCTCCAGGGGATCTTCCCAACCCAGTGATTGAACCCGGGTCTCCCACATTGTAGGCAGACGCTTTACCGTCTG